ACAAAGTCATGAATATCATATGCCTGTAAATAATTCAGATTAGACTATTCCAGAAGAGAAAATAGAACATATTTATAGAATAGGTCCATTAGATTTCAAAACAGCCTTATCAGTTAAAACTCATGAAGAGATAATTTCTATTCAAGAAGAATATCAAACCATTCCATTAATAAATCATAATACAATTCAAAAGTATCTTAGTAAAGGATATAGATATATTCATATAGGATTAATTCAAGTTGCAATAAAACCATTATTCCATTTTGGAGTAGATGCTCTTATATACTTAGTTTTAAGAGATACTAGACTCAAAAGGTATAAAACTTCAATTTTATCTATGATTCAAACAAATGTATGTAATGGACCAATTTATTTTAATTGTGCTCCAAATTTTTCTGTAGATTTAACAGATCCCCATGTTTTGAATTCAGTTATATTAGATATTTATTTACAAGGTGATGAATTTGAAAAACATACAAAGAATTTTGCTGTAATTTATAGAATGTATTACAGACCTTTGTCTTCACAATTAAATCCAAAATTTATTATGACTCCAACTTTAAAAGAGAAAACAACACTATTACAAGTTGATGCAGATAGACCTACTACTTATACTCCAAAAAGATTAAAATGGAACGAAATTACTATACCTAGTGAATTTATAATTCAAAATCCACAAGTACCAAGAAATATAGAACAAACAAATTCAGAAGATATTATAGAAGAACCTGATGAAAAAGTTTTACTAAGATTTTCTTCATTTAGAGAAAGACCCTCAACTTCAAGTCATTCATGGATACCAGCTAGGAGATCTAGTTATGAATCCATCGATACAAATTTTATTCCAGAAAGTTCTTCAACATTCAAGTTTAAAACTCCTGTCCCTGAAGTAGTTAATCAAAATCAATCAGAATATTCTCCAACACATTCTCAAATGAAAGGAGAAATAAATGTAATAATTAAAGAATATAAAATAAATCATAAATATTTACAAGAAGATTTTGATGATGAAGAAAATACAGGAAAAAAAATTTGATTTTATCAATTATCTTCTGAATGTAAAGAAAAATTAATATTAGAATGGAAAAATGAACTAGAGATTAGAAAGTTTGATTTTCCTTTCTTTACTTGGTTATCATTCTATATTTCAGAAATAGGAATAAATGATGTATATAATACTCCACAAATAAATGTTCAGACTAATTTATATAAAAATGAAAATTAAAAGATGATCAAGTAATAATGTCAATACATCCTCCATTACAAGAAGTAAAAATTAATATAGGATAAGGAGATATAATTGCATCTCCTTTCAAAAAAGGTAGAGAAGCTGAAACAAGTAGTAGTAGTAATAATGTGAATTTAGATGATATCAAAAAATTATATCAGCAAAATAATTACACAAATCAAATTCTTCATACTATATCACAACATATAGAAGTAATAAGTACTAAGATAGATAGTATTCAAAAACCAGTTAAAAAATTTCCTAATGATATTTCAGCACCTCGTTTTCAACCTAGAAGTTTAACTAGAGAAAGAGAACAAGAATTAATTCAAAGTGTTAATACTCAAAGAATAAATAATACAGATAATATATTGAATAGAATATCTCAAACATTGTAAAGTTTAACAACAGAAGCTCAAACTCAAACTTCTAGAATAAGTACATTAGATAATGTAATAAATAAAAATATATCATCAGGAGAATCAAGTTATTCAGAAAGTGATGAAGATATAATTTCACCTATTGAAGATCAATTTGAAGAGGAAGGAGATCATCAAGTAAATAAAATAAGAAGAAGAAGACCTCTTAGAAGTAATAAAAAAGATTGGCAGATGGTAAGTACTAGAAATTATTATCCAAAACCTAGTCCCCCGGATATTCAATATAAAGAAAGATCAAAATTTCATACTACTAAATACGATGGACATTCAATTTATGAATGGAATATAGATGGAAGAGCAGAATATGAAGTATTAAATACTCTACAAGAAATGGGAATGGCTAGATTAGCCTATAAACTCAAAAATATTCAAGAAAGAAATGTAGCAACATTATTAGTATCAGGATTCACAAGACAATTAAAAAATTGGTGGGATAATACTTTAACCCTTCAAGATAAATTATCTATATTAGATCATACACAAGAAGTAGAGGATGACCAAAGAAATATTCAAGTACAATCAGATGCTGCAGAATTTTTAATTGTCACAATAGTAATGTATTTTGTAGGAAATCCAAAAGAAGAACTAAATGCAAATAAAGCATTTTTAACAAATTTAAGATGTCCAACTTTGTCGAACTTTAGATGGTATAAAGATATGTTTTTAACTAATGTATTAAGAAGACCAGATTGTAATGCTTCATTTTGGAAAAAAATATTTATTACAGGATTACCAAGTCTATTTTCACAAAGGATAATGGATAATTTACAAAAAGAAATGGGAACAGATGTTATTTCATTCGAAAATATTACTTTTGGACAATTATTTGCTTTTGTGAAAAAAAAGGTTTAATATTATGTTCAGAACTAAAACTCCAGATTAAGTATGGTTCAAAAACAAAAGAAGTAGGATCATTTTGTGAAGCATTTGGTATAAAAAGAATTAAATCACCATCAGCATATAAAAAGAAAAGTAAAAAGGACAAAAAAATACATAAGATATAAAAAAATAATAAAGAAGAAAATTATAAGAAAAATAAAAAATTTTATAAAAGAAAAATTGTTTGTTATAAATGTGGAAAAGTAGGACATAAAGCAAATAAATGTAAATTGAAAGAAAAAATAAATGAAATCTGTGCAGAAGAAGAAGATATGAAGAATAAATTAATAAATTTATTAATAAATGAAAAAGAACAAAGTACAGAAGATGATTATTGCAATGATATAAGTAGTTCAGAAAGTGAAGAAAATTGTAATTGTTTTAACAGTCCAAAGTATATAAATGTAATTACAAAAAAGGAAGATAAAGAATTTTTATTAGACATAATAGAAAAAATTGATGATCCCTTAGCTAAAAAAGAATATTTAGAAATATTAAAAAGTTTAATCATTCAAGAGGATAAGATGCCAAAAATAATTGAACCATTTAACATTTCAAAATTACTAGATAAATATCCTAATATAAACAATATGAAAAAAGAAACTACTAAAGATCTTCAAACAGAAATTAATAATTTAAAAAATCAAGTAAAACAATTACAAAAAGAAATTATAGAATTAAAAACTAAAGATTTAGAAATAGAAGCAAAGATGACATTAATAGAAATCAACCTTCTACTTCAAAAACATTAACTTCAGAAGAAATAGTTATTTCAGAAAGACCAATAGATGAAAAACAATATTTAAATACAATAGAAAAAATAACATTTCAAAAGTGGTATGCTCTAGTTACAATAACGGTAGAAGATTTCAAAGAAACATATGTAGCTTTGTTAGATAGTGGAGCAGATTCAAGTTGTATAAAAGAAGGAATTATTCCCACTAAATATTGTGAAAGAACAAATGAAACTTTGATGACAGCAAATGGAGAAAATTTACTAGTAAAATATAAATTTACAAAAGGGTCGATATGTAATAATAATTATTGTATTAGACATAATTTTATAATTGTAAAAAATATAAGTAATAATATAATTTTAGGAACACCCTTTTTAATTCAAATATATCCATTTTCAGTAGGACATGAAGGAATTTCTACTAATATTATGGGAAAAACTATTACTTTAAAATTTTTAACTCCAATCAAACAAAGAGAATTACAAATATTACAATCAAATTCTATTTATAAAACAATAAATACTATTACTAAGGTAAAACAACAGATAAATTATATAAAGGAAGAAAAATCCTATTTAAAAATTGGAGAACAATTAAAAGAAATAAAAATGCAAAAAAGAGTTTTAGAATTAGAAGAATTAATTAAAAAGGAAGTTTGTGCAGACATTCCGATTGCTTTTTGGGATAGAAAACAACATATGATAAAATTAGCCTTCGAAAAAGATTTTAATGAGAAAAATATTCCAACTAAAGCAAGACCTATACAAATGAATAGCGAATTATTAGAATTTTGTAAAAAAGAAATACAAACATTAATTGATAAAGGATTAATAACATCTTCAAAATCTCCTTGGAGTTGTGCAACTTTTTATGTTATGAATCAAGCTGAAAAAGAAAGAGCAGTTCCAAGATTAGTTATTAATTATAAACCATTAAATAAAGTATTACAATGGATTAGATATCCAATTCCAAATAAAAAAGATTTATTAAATAGACTATATAATGCAAAAATATTTTCAAAATTCGATCTAAAACCTGGATATTGGCAGATAATAATAGCTCTTGAAGATAGATATAAAACAGCATTTACAACACCTTTTGGTCATTATGAATGGAAAGTAATGCCATTTCGATTAAAAAATGCGTCTTCAGAATTTCAAAATATAATGAATGATATATTCAACCCTTATAGCTCATTTAGTATAGTTTATATAGATAATGTGTTAATATTTTCAGAATCATTAGAACAACATTTTAATCATTTAAATATATTTTTAAAAGTAGTTAAGAAAAACGGATTAGTGGTATCAGCATCTAAATTAAAATTATTTCAAACAAAATTAAGATTTTTAGGACATGATATAGATAAAGGAACAATAAAGTCAATAAATAGAGCTTTAGAATTTGCAAATAAATTTCCAAATGAAATAAAAGATAAAAATCAATTACAAAAATTTCTAGAATGTTTAAATTATATTGCAGATTTCTTTCCTAAATTAAGACAAGAATGTTTTATATTATTCAATAGATTAAAGAAAGATCCTAAACCTTGGTATTCAATAGATTAAAGAAAGATCCTAAACCTTGGACAGAAGAACATACTCAAAAGATTAGATATTTAAAAGAAAAAATTAAATCACTACCATGTTTATGTCTTCCTCATCCTAAAGCTTTTATGATAATAGAAATAGATGCTTCAGAATTAGGATATGAGCAAACTCCTAAACCTTCTTCCAACATACGAACCAAACGCCACCTTACTTGTAGAGTTGTATAGTCCATTTTCTTTCCAAGAAAAGAAGAAAAGAACCAAAAACAGAAAACCGACAAAAGCATTAAGGGTACAAGCTGACATTTGACAAAAAAAAAAAAAAACATTAAGGGAATCCGAGGAGCAAGGGGAGCTCGCTGCCGCCGTCACCATTGCCGGAGTTGCTATCTTCTTGCTAGGACCACCACTGCTTACAGATCATCATGAAGAAAGTACTGTGCGGTTTCCATACTCCTTTTTTTGTTTTAATCTCTAGGTTGAGATGATTTTTTTGGCTGTTGAAATTGCTATCTTCTTCCCGTATGCTTTGTTTTGTAGATGAATGAAATTGAACAATGATACTTGCTGCAATTTTGTTGTTTCTTTTTCACCTTTTCTGCCTGAACGAAGCTTGACAAGATATTTGTCGACTTAGCCATAGTCAAATTTCATACGAAATATTCAATTTTTGTGACGACCTTAATCTGTTTGACAAAATGCCCAAACGAAATGAGTTTGTAAGTAGACCTGAGAGTATGTTTGAGAGCCATTTCTCCTTTAAGACGTGCGGCGTGCCTCAACCCGATTCCCACCACCATACCAAAATAATCAAGCACCCTTTGTTAAAAGATGAGACCGCCCCTGGTTTCCGGTTCCTCCGTTTGTTTTTCATTTTGCCATAGTAACCCCTCTGGGCTCTGAGAACTAAGACCATCCAGCCAACCATGTACATATATATATATATATACACACACACACTTGTCCTCCCACATTTATTCACCGGTCACCACCCATTCCAAAAGTGTAATGAAGTAAGAAGCTGGGGAAGGGAAGGCGTGAAGACAGCCAAGGAGAAGGCGTGAGAAGGGATAGCAAAAGCGTGACCAAGGAAGCACGCCCATTCTGGGTTCATGCTATTCGTACGGAAGCTGAAATCCAACAACCTGAAGATTCTCATTACACGTGTCATTTGCTTATTAGCTACGGAAAGAAGTTAGTTAGGATAGTTTTCTATAAATGATTCAATTATGTAATAGTTAGGGAGCTTTTTGTCAAGATTTGTTTCTGCAATCAGAGAGGAAATATTCCCTCTGTCTTCTCCCTCAAGTTTCCTGCATTCTTTTCCCCTTCTCCTCTTTCCCGCCAAAATCTGATTCTGTATCCGAATTTTAAAGTTCATCAATAAGAATTGGTGATATTCACTTAAATCTTGCTTTGTCATTTGAGTGTTAGTTCAGATTCTGTTTTACTTCAATTTTTCCATTTCCATCTTTTGTTAATAGGTTCTGTACCACAACAAAAAGAAAGGCCGAGACCTGCTCCTCAAGGCAAAAAAAATTCCCTTCCTTATCGAACCCACCAAAAAAAAAAAAAGAAAGAGCAAAGGTAAATATAATAATAGCTCCACGGATTGGAATTCCATCTTTTCTCCCCAACTTTCTGGAACTTTCTCATTTTTTCCTTCCGCTACTTTTTACTTACATCTACAACCGACATCTTAGACGTCGTCGTCCTCGTCTCACCGTCGAAAACATGGACACTAAGATCGGAGCATTGGACACATGTAAGCCACTTAGCAATGACGTCTGTTGTCTCCCCACCAATGGCGCCGTTACCATCCACCAATCTCCCATTCCTTTCAACTCTGCTGACTCCACTCTCGGACGCAACCTTGCTCGCCGTCTCGTCCAGGTCGGCGTAAATGATGTCTTCTGCTTGAGAGTATGTTTGCTTCACTTTCCTTATGGTTCTTGATTTTTTGTTTTTTTCTTGTGAAATTTATTTCATGATTTGAGTGTGTGAGAGAGTTTGTGCGAATTTCTGGTGAATGGGATGAGATTTCTATCGGAGAAGAAGAAGTATGGTCAAAGTCCGTCTAAATTGAAGAATTTAATTTAAAAAGACAGATATACCCATCACCGGTTGTACGGAATATGTAAAATATGGTGTCGCCGCCGCAAAAGTCCTACATTAGAGACTTCAAAATAGTCGAAGGACTAAATTGGCTAAAAAAATTCGTAAAGGACGAAATTGGTTTTAGTGTAAAAGTTTAGGGACGAAAATGGCGAAATTCCCTTAAATATTGTATGATTGTGGAAAATTTTCTTTTTAATTGCTTCATTTGTTATGATTGAATATAAATTGGCACACTAATATATGACGAAATGGTAAATTGATACAGGCTAGTTCTGATTTTAGAGATCCCTTAATTTTTGGTTGATAGATTTTTTCAAGTCAAAGTTGAAATGATAATTTAATTTGGAAAGACTTAGTTGTTCAAGTTTCATTCTAGTATGGTTTGAGGGTCAGCTGCTTGTCCCATCTTGTTTTTGATTTGATGGAAGAGCACAATAAAGAGTGATGCCACACAGTACTTGAGTTATTTGCAACGCTTACAGGAGGATAATCTGAGATTGAGAATTGCTTTTAGTTGTTTTTGATAGGTGACAGTGACTGCTTTAGGTTTTCAATCTCTCTGCTGTTGTGCGTGAATGACGGGGGATCAGATAAATCAATTTATTACATCAATGCTTGGAGACGCAAGTATTGATATGGTGATAGATCAATTTAACTAGTTTTTTTGTGAAATGCTAATTTAATGTGAGACGTGTGCAAATTTCCACGGGGTAGAGAGGGAAAAGCCCTCGTGTTTTTTTTATGCATGCTATATTACGGATCAAATGATTTTTGTTCTGAAATTGATCTTCATAACAATTACTCTGTGATTTGCTGTTGGGATTGAAGGCCTTCTCGATTGTAACTGTTGAAATAAAATTACTTATTATGTGTTGATCTCAATCTGCATGCTGGTGTTCTGGTTGTTTCTTTTAATGTTTTTAAGAGGGTTTGGTGGGGGTTGGGCGGAGAAATGGAGGTCAAGTCCCTTTCCGAATTGTAATCCATGCTAATGTATACGTGTCAGTACATATTGGTCCTTATGGTCATTGCTTTATGACATGCTGATCTCAATCCTAGTTGTAAAGCATTTGCTAATTGTTCATTGGAACGGAAGCCCTTTTGAATCATGACCAAAAAAAAGGAAAAAAGTTGTAAAAAATTAGGTTTTTCTCTACTTAGAAAATTGGAAATTTTTAGATATGTCCATTTTGAACTTAAACTTTTGCCCCCTCAAAAACGTGAAATGTTATACTATATGGTTAAGTTTTAGATATGTGAGCTTGCTAATAAATTTTCTGGTTCTGTCTATATGTCCAAAGTAACTTCTACATATTAATTGGGTTATGGCTCATCTCTCTGAGCTGTAATGCAATCCATACATCTGTAAATGAGTGGGTAAAATTGAAGCTGAAGCCTTTCTGAAATGTAATGCATGCTTACCTATTTTTGTTTTCACGCTAATTGAAACTGACACTTGGGGACAAGAAATCAAGAGTGTATATACTTCACGGAGTTGTGAGTAATTTTCTTTATCTGGTAAATTTACCATTCTATCTCAAGCTTTAACACATATGACTTGGCATCAGAACCTGGTATTGGCACCTTAAAGTGCAGTCAAATCTTAAAAGCATAAATTCTATTTTATGCATATATTTATATGTTTTTGTGTTTTCATATTCTTTTCTAAGTCCTTTCTTATTTGAGACTTGATGGATTTAAGGTTGGTTATTTTAGCATTTCCCTGTTTTGGTTCACATCTTTCCTTTTCTTTCACAAAACAAGTTCTGTATCTCATATTTCATACGGGTATGGGCAATCGAAACAACTAGAAAAGCATATAGAAAATTATGCCAAGTTTGGTGTTGTATTAGATTTCCATTTTTTCTAATTTGTAATCCTTTGAAATCCTAGTGTGTTTTGCTGGTTTGTTCATCAATTTTGTATGGCCAACAAAATGCTGTATGCTGTCTAAACTTATGTCTTCCAGTTAGTTTGTTGGAGAGACCCTTAGCACAAAATGAAAGAGAGAACAATTACTGTAAGACAAATGGAAATGGAAACATGACACTGGTATATCTGCAGGAGTATACTCATCGTCCATGTCCCAATGCTATTCTGATGTTAAATTTTTTTTTTTTGTAAGTGAGTATTGTAGTTTTGTCTTTATTTAATGGACTGGTAGTTGATCTGCTAACATAGGTGGATTGTCCCCTTTTTAAGTACTTTAGGAAGACATTTAGATGGTTTTAAAGATTAATATTGTACTAGCTAACAATATTACAGTTAACTTTGGCATTATGATAACTGTAGCTTACTCATCAAATTGACCACTTCTAGACAGAGAGATTTAAAACAGGGTGAATATGACAATCAAATGAACTTCTTGTGTAGTATTTATTGATGCAAGTATCTACTGTTAGGAGAAGAATTGGGAAGAAAGCTGACAGAAAGATATCAACTGTCAGAGGGAGAAGAATTGGTGTAATTTTCCAAAGGGAAATAGCACCTATTTATACATTATAAATCTTGGGAGGTCCTATTTATTTTCTGATGTAGGACAAAACTTTTGTCCTATTCATTTTTCGATGTGGGACAAAATTTTTGAAATACACATATATTTTACAATATGAAATTGATATACATCACTAACTTCAAATTACCTCACATCACCAGCGACAATAATATCGCCCGCTTAGTGGCGCTGGATCCAAGCAGCCATAACTTCAAATTACCCAGTCGGAACAATAGTTAGTCACTGGTCACTAGTAACCAGTCCATTGTACTCGAGTGCCAGCTTCTCCCAGCAGCCAGCAAAACTTCTGCAAAATGGTACAGAAAGCATGGAGAATCATCCCAAGGCCACTACTGGAGACCATCCTCAACAACCACGCTCAACATCACCGTGTCCCACAACCCCTCATTCTCCACGGTCCTCGCGGCGTTGGCAAAACCACCCTCATCCTTGAACGTACGAGAAAATATGCTCTCACTATCTTCAACTCTTATTATTCATCACAGTTGGAATTTAATGGTTTTTTTTTTTTGGAGCAGGTTTGCTGGATGATTGGAATACTGGACCTCATGTAACAGGGTATGTGGACTTTGCAGAGAATATGAGAGATCAGCACCCAAAGTATGGCTGTTCATTTCCATGGGCATCATGGTCAAATTGTCAGCCGCAGCCGGCACTTTTGTCTCTCAGAAATCAGCTTGAAGAAAGCCTTGAGTCCATGGTTATAAGGGGTATAAAGTTGGGTAAAATTAGTTCGCATCAAATATTTACTACTATTAACAAATGGCATAATCCCACTACAGCAATTGAAAGGATTTGTGGGTTGAATGTCATTAATAGTTTAAGAATTAACTCAAAAAGGGACGTCGTGAAAAGGGATGATTCTAAGAGGAGGAAAAGTAAGGTATCTGCAGTTGCTGCTGCTAGTTCTTTGTCTAGTTTATTGAATTTGTGGGATAGGGCTGTTTTTCAGCTATCTGTTCGATTAAATGCCAAAGAGAGTTTTGGGGGGGATGTGAGTTTGGTGGAGGATTCGTATTATAGGGAAGCAATGGCTGCATTGGAGTTGGCTAAGGAGGTTATAAAAGTGCAGCAAGGGTGGAGAGCTAATGCTATTAAGCATTTAAATGAGACAGGTGGCTTTTCAAGGCCTTTAGGCCATTCAGCAACTGATTGGCCTTGTTTATTGCTTGAATTATTGTCTTCTGCTGCTGAAGTAGGTTACTTTCAGGTAACTCCCAAGTAGAATGCATTTCTGTATTTTCTGTTTTGCTTCTCCTGATCAGTTTCTTGAAAGAATTTGCCGCGAATAAAAGAAAATAGGGAGTAAGAAATTGTAATGGAATGCTGTAGGTAATGGATGGTATTCATGAATGTTAGCAAGTCTATGAAACTGCTAATTAGTTAATAGAAGATATCTAATGATTGTGTTGTATATTTGAAATTTGAGGAGTTCGAAATGCTTGCAAGATACGTCCACTATAATGGCTCTTATCTATTACCTTTTTTGTGGGAGTTATTTTATAGGTTTTTTTTTTTTGTCAGAATTGGTAGTTATTCACTTTTCTTACTTGGTTTTATTTTATTAATTGTAGCCAAAGCTGGTGATAAACAACATTGATGTCCTAAAGAATGCAGTTTTGACAGATGATACTACTGTGAATGCATCCATGTATCATGACAGCTTTATATGGAGGACTATAGCTCTGTGTGTGAATGAGAGATGTCTTCCTGTGATTCTTGTGACGTCAGATAGGTAACAGTTTCAACCATTCCCCAACATTACTGGTTGAGAATGGTGGCTATTTGTTTGTCCTGTGCATGCTTTCTACCTTGTTGTTTTCCTGACTGAGTTGTCATTTCTATTTGCACATTGAGTTAGCAAGCCTGCACCTCATAGTTGCACATCAGATTTTTTAGTTCCTTTTTATCATATGTTCAACTTTATAAGCTACCAATTCATTTCTTTTGTCAAGTGCAAGATTCTATGTCCTGATTCTTCATGACTTTATTTGGAGTTTGTCAAGAACAAGATATGCCTGGTCACAAGGTCAGTTTGCATTTTTTCTGACCTAGGGAATTATTGGTTTAAAAATTCATAAAGCCACTCAATGTCCAGGACTACTGCCAAGCCCACTTAGCCCTTCCTAGCTTGCGGGACGCTTATGCGCTGGGTCTGCTTTAGTCCCTTATGGACAATATGTGATACCAGCTTACTGTAGATTGTTAAAAGTTTTCTTTCCCCCTGCTGATAGATAGTTCATTTATAATCTTACTTCTCTGGATGTCAGAGCACCAGAATTAGGAGATAACACAGGATTTCTTAATCATCAATTGTGGTCTTGGTCTGTTCAGCTACTAAAATGGCATCATCAAATTTTTTTCACTTGAAACTACAAGTCATCAAATATTCCCTATTTTACTTCAATTGTGCGGTTGATAACTTATAGGAGGAAACATACTAATTGTGTCAATTTAGTGATTTTTGAAGTGGAATGTTAATGACAGCAGATATGCATATCTTGATGTTTTCCTACTCCTTTTACTCTATTTCATTATAACACTGTTAGAGTGCTGCCAGGTATAGTACAAGAAAAAGGAATGGCTACAAGACTAGAAAGTGAAAACTCAAATGTATTTAATAAATGTGTTCAGTTCCAACATGGATTTTGGACTTTGATGGTTATAGAGTTAAGAAACAATTGTTTAATAACTTTTTATTTAATAGAATTTAGAATATTTAGATGGGTTGGGTGGTTTGGGGGAGGGAGTCTAAGTGAGTGGTGCCGGGTTTGAGCCCTCCCGTTTACAATATAAAATTTTTTTAAAAAAATTAGAAATATTTAGAACTTTTGATCGCTAATTTAACTTAAACAGAAATTCAGAATTGTAAATCTGTTAGCTTTTCTTCTGTATGAAGTATGAACTTTTATAAGTAAAATTTTTATTAAAAGAAAGTGGTTGCATTTTTTTCACAACCCAAAGCTGAGAGTGTGACGTCTAGTTATTCAAGAATGTGAAACTGTACCCATGTTAGATTACCTATCATAGCAGGACAGGCTAAACTATAGGCTTGTTAAAGTAGGTCCACATCCCCCGAGAGGAAGTTAGTGATCATTCTGTTGTGAAGTTCTAGAATTTTCAATCTCACAGTTCAATTTGTTCTGTATTTCAGATACCATTATTTGACTCTGTTTTATTTAATTAACTGGTAGAATTTGATCGATTCAGTGGAATTTTTTGTAATTTGAGTAATTTCTTAAAGTGCTGTACATCTTATACTTCTTTTAGTGGTGATAGTCCCTTTGTAGTTATGAATATTGCATAATGCTGATTGTGTGGATTTTCAGAAATCCTGTAACTAAATAATTCTAGAGAAGATTAGAAGTTTTAAGATTGGTAGGAGAATCAGAAGTTAGAAGTGGAATTTGGTAGTGCTGCCAGCCCGTCCCTTTTTCAGATGTCATTAGCAGTGTGTGATTCATGAGTCCAACCCCTCAAAATCTTCCGTTTCTTGCTTGATCAAAGAGTAGTATAGAAGCATAAAATTTTTTATAATTATATCTTAAACCTTTCCATCCAACATTTACATTCTTTTTGGAGAATTAAGCTTCCTAAAAGTTTAGAAGTTTCATGTTTTGTGTGACAATTGCTTATTTACATGTCTAATTTGGAAAAAATGAAACCTTTTAAACTTTTTACAATTAGAAATAATTTGTTGACGGATTAATGAATTTGATTGAAATGGCAGTGATTTAGCTTCTGTGCTAGATCTTGCACATACCTAAGCATTTCTTGACAGTTGCCCATTCTGCTTTATAGCCAGCAACAATAAGATAAAATTCTTGCAGATCCCTTTGATCAAGTACTAAAGTTAATAAAGGACCAACTGTTTCATTGCATGCTTAGACTAATCCCTGGGCAAATTTGACAGGTTCTTTGGTGGTTCATAGTCTGACAGATCTTCAATGCTCTTGCTTTACTTTTTGATGGTCTATTCAAGCTTCCATTTTCATAATTTGAGAAATCCTTGGTGTAAATGGACCTTTTTGTAATAACAGGCAAAAGGTGTCAACAGGCCCTAATGAAGCTTCCCAGCCTTTTTATGCCTAATGCTAACTTTCCCCTTTATTTGAATGAATCCAAATTTTTGCTACTTTTTCATACACAATTTCATTTTCTCTTTTATATATTCTTCAATTGATTAATAAAACTAAGAACACGTGATATGTGCTTGCAGCTACTACTCTTCCCAAGCTTTTATTGATTATGGATTTCCAGATATTTTCATCTCTCGTGAGGTAACAGGAACTCTTTTGTGTGTACCTGCATGTGTATTTGATGGTCCTGAATATTGTTAGAATCTTTTTTCTTGTAAATATGTATGTATAAAAATGTCCATATCAATGAACAGACTGTTGGTAGTTATAGTTGGAAATCAGATGCAGTTCTTTGCAGTTTACCCAGTGATCGTCTGTTCTTAGGCAGTGAATTTTTTGAATATATTCTGAATATGATAGTTAAAGTGATTTGTGGTGTTCACCAATGATTATGAGTCTGGGTGATTGAGTTCATAAGAAAAATGCAGACATTTGGGTGGACTCCAGCCGAAGCCAATATGCACATGGTTAACGATTACTTTACTCAAGCTGAGGTACAATTGTGATGACTATTAGTTTTTCTTCAAGATGAGTTTTTAGTTGCTCTGACAATGTTGTGCACTTGTTGAAATTGCAGTGGAATTTAATTGTTGAGACCCTAGGGCCAAGTCCACGGCACCTTTTTGAGGTTTATGCACTCAAGCTTAGTAACTATTACAATAAGTAAGTAGTAATAGTAATGCATGTTTCATGATATGAAATCGGTGATATTGGATTCATGGATTTTGTGGAGCGTTTTCTATTTAATCGTTTACTTATTGATTGTCAATATTCTACTTTTATTTGTATTAATCATTTGGTACTCTGTAGATACGTTAACTGAACAAAAAAGAAAACTGAATTGTTCTGTCATATCTTTTGTTCTAGACTCTGTACAACATTTATACAAATGGAATTGGACTTTTGTCAATTCCATGAAATCTGTAATTTCCTAAAAATTAGGAGCTAATTTATTCTATCCTAAAATACATTAGGAGTAAATTATTCTATCCTAAAATAGAGCAGAAATCATGGGATATAGCAGAAATCATGGGATATAGCAGAGATCATGGGATATACATAGAAAAAGATATTCTAGATTTTCAACACTCCCCCTCAAGATGGTGAATAGATATTTTCCATTCCCATCTTGCATGTAATGTCTTCAAAGTTGGAAGTTGGCATTCCCTTAGTTAAGACATCTGCCAATTGATTATTTGATGCTACATATGGAGTGCAAATCATGCCACTGTCCAGCTTTTCTTTAATAAAATGTCTATCAACTTCGATGTGCTTTGTGCGATCATGTTGCACTGGACTGTGTGCAATGTTGATGGCAGACTTGTTGTCGCAATAGAGTTTCATAGGCCCTTCACTCTTGATTTTAAGATCATCAAGTATTATTTTGAGCCATAGCAATTCACAAACTCCATGAGCCATAGCTCTAAACTCTGCTTCAGCACTTGATCTTGCAACAACCGATTGCTTCTTACTCCTCCATGTCACTAGGTTCCCACCAAGAAATGTACAATATCCTGAAGTTGATCTACGATCTACAACAGAACCTGCATAATCAGCATCAGTATATGCCTCTATGAGCAATCCTTCATTTTTCTTGAACAAAATTCCTCTACCCGGTGTCCCTTTGAGGTAGGATAGAATTCTATTGACAGCCTGCAAGTGTTTCTCTCTTGGATCATGCATAAATTGGCTTACTACACTTACAGCAAATGCTATGTCCGGCCTTGTATGGGACAAGTATATCAGTTTCCCAACCAACCGCTGATATCTTCCCTTATCTACTGTGCTATCATCCTTCCCTTCATTCAATCTCAAGTTAGGCTCAATGGGTGTGCTTGCTGCCTTGCATCCAAGATTGCCTGTTTCTTTAAGCAAGTCTAAGACATACTTTTGTTGGGAAACAAAGATGCCCTTTCTTGAGTATGCCACCTCAATGCCTAAAAAATACTTCAGCCTCCCTAGTTCTTTAATTTCAAACTCCTTTGCTAAGCACTTTTTGAGTGTTTCTCTTTCAATTGGATCATTCCCGGTGATGATGATGTCATCTACATATACAAGTAGAGCTGTAACACCTCCTTTTGAATGTTTTATGAACAAAGTATGATCTCCTTGACTTTGTTTGTATTGCATTGCTAACATCACTTTAGTAAATCTTCCGAACCAAGCCCTTGGCGATTGTTTTAATCCATATAAAGCTTTCTTTAACCTGCACACTTTCTTTTCAAAAAACATTTCATTAAAACCCGGTGGAGGTTCCATGTACACCTCTTCTTCTAAATCCCCATGTAAGAATGCATTCTTCACATCAAATTGCTGTAAACACCAACCAAAGTTAGCGGCTAAAGACAAAAGAACACGGACAGTATTCATTTTTGCAACGGGTGCAAAGGTCTCTTGGTAATCTATCCCATATGTCTGTGTATATCCTTTTGCGACCAACCGAGCTTTATGCCTTTCTAATGAACCATCAGCTCTATATTTCAAAGTAAACACCCATTTACACCCCACTGTTTTCTTTCCTTTGGGTAGGTTTACAATTTCCCAAGTCTTATTTCTCTCTAGGGCATTCATCTCCTCTTTCATAGCATGTAACCAATTCTTATTTCTAAGTGCCTCTTGTAGTGTTTGTGGAATTGAAATAGAATTGATGGTGGTAAGGAAAGTTTTATGTTGTGGAGAGAATCTATGGAAAGACACGAAATTTGAGATTGGATGCTTAGTGCATTCTCGTGTTCCTTTTCGAACAGCAATAGGCAGGTCTAAATCATTAAATTCACAAGGAGCAGAGTCAGATTGAACACACAAAGGAACAGAATTTTCAGTACCTGATTGTGGTTCAGATTCTTGGATTTGCACAGGTTCAGAAATATGAACTTTCTTCCTTGAGTAGACCTTGAGTGGTGTAGTTGGATTTAAACCAGATTTTCCCTCAACTCCAAGATCAGGTTCAATTTCTTTACTGGCATGTTCAACTTCAAATTCAGGTTCAGGTTCACTGCTAGTATGTTCTCCTTTAGAATTTGGTGTATGGTCCGGCTTGAAAGACTTTAAGTTTAGTGTAGAACTTTGAAGATCAAGGAGAAATTCCTTATCTTCCCAAGAACTCTCCCCCTGGGGATGAGGATTGTTACTTTGAGAGTAAGGTTCATTTTCAACAAATGTGACATCCATAGAGGTAAAAAATTTTTTTGAAGGAGGATGATAACACTTATATCCTTTCTTTGTGTTTGAGTATCCCACAAAAATACATTTTAAAGCTCTTGGATCAAGTTTCCCTCTTTGGTGTGCATGAACATGTACAAAAGCAACACAACCAAACACTTTTGGTGACAATGTGCAAGAGACATTAAAATCAGGGTAAAAACCAGAAAGAGCAGCAATGGGACTTTGATTATTTAGTACTTTTGAAGGTACTCTATTTATCAAATGTGCAGCAGTTAAAACAGCCTCCCCCCAAAAAGTTTTTGGAACTTTATGTTGAAACAAAATTGCTCGAGTCACATTGAGTAAATGCCTATTTTTTCGTTCAGCAATCCCATTTTGTTGGGGTGTATCTACACAAGATGACTCATGTATTATACCCTCTTTTTGAAAAAAAGATGAGAGAATTTGATTAAAATAGTCTCTTGCATTATCAGATCTTACTCTTTTAATCAAACTTCCAAATTGTGTACAAATCATTTTATGAAACATTGGAAAAATACTGCTTACTTCTGATTTTTCTTTCATAAGAAATAACCAAGTAGTTCTAGTACAATCATCAATGAATGTGACAAACCATTTTGCTCCAGAAATACTAGAAATTCTACAAGGCCCCCAAATATCAGTATGTATCAAAGAGAAAGGTCTAGTAGATCTTGTATTACTCAATGGAAATGATAGTCTATGATGTTTAGCAATTTCACATGTATCACAATGGAAACTACTAACATCTTCATTCTTGAAAAGTGAAGGAAACATGCTTTTAAGTAGCATAAAAGATGGATGACCAAGACGGAAATGATGAAGCCAAATTTCAGATTTATTATTTGAGGAGCAGGTGAGGGATAACTGATTTTTGTTCTTCTTGTTGCCACTCATCTCCTCAAGGTAATAAAGCCCGTCATTCACCTTAGCAAGTCCAATCGTCCTCCCCGTAACCAAATCCTGAAAAACACAGTGAGTAGTATAGAAAATTACTCTACAGTTCAGATCTTTGGTAATTTGATGGATGGATATGAGATTGGAGGACAATTTTGGGACATGCAACACATTATTTAGGGACAAAGAATTTGATAGATTTACTGTCCCTTGGCCTGCAACAGTTATAGGAGATCCATCCGCAACAGTAATTTTTCTATTTCCAGGACATGGGTTGTATGTTCTAAATCTGATTGGGCTGTGAGTCATATGGTCAGTAGCTCCTGAGTCGATGACCCAAGAGCCTAGAGAAGACATGCTTGAGGCACTTAAAGCATAAGAGTTAAGGTACTTACCTGATTGAGCCAATGAACACGTACTAGAGGACTTTTCAAGGGAATTTAGGAGGTTTCTTAGCTTTTCGATTTCTTCTTTCTTGAATTCTCCGATACCAGTCTGGTTGGATTTTTCTTGTGTTTGGTCTTCTCCAGCAGTTAAGTGGGCTTTTCCCCCTTTGAATCCTCCTTTACGACTAAGGACTTGTTCCTTCCCATGGAGTTTGAAGCAATCATCTCGCGTATGGCGTGATTTTTTGCAGTACGTGCACCAAATTGTGTCTTTATTTGACTTTGTAGAAATCATTGCCGAGCCTTCTAATGTTTTAGGCTCTAACATGACTTCTCGCCTATTCTCTTCAGCTCGAACCAATGATATTGTCTCATTCAGAGATGATAATCTTTCCTTCCCCAATATCTGGACTCTGACCTGATCAAATTCCACATTCAGACCTGCAAGGAAGTCATAAACTCTATCCTTTTCGATAAAGTTTTTCAAGGTGGCTGCATCTTCACTACACAACATCTGAACACACCGATATTGGTCCAGTTCCTGCCATAGATTTTGCAAAAGGTTGGCATATTGAGTAACAGAAAGGTTGCCCTGTTTAGTGGCTGAGATCTTTGTTTTGATCTCATAGATTAGGGCAGCATCTCCTGCCTTTGAATAGGTCTGTCGAATAGTAGACCATATATCTTGAGCTGTTGATAGGAACATGCAGGTATCGCTTATTTCAGGTAACATGGAGTTCCACAGCCATGACATGACCATAGAATCCTCTTCATCCCAAGCAGCGAATTTAGGATCTCCCTTTTTCGGTCCAGTTCCAAGCAAGTGGCTGATTTTGCCCTTTCCTTTGAGAAATGTTTGAACAAATTGTGACCACTTCAAATAGTTTTTCCCGTTGAGCCTGTAGGCTGCCTGGATATTCTGCAAATCCCCTGTTTGTGGAATATTTGAGGTCTCTTCTGATTTGGTATTGGAGTGGATTTCTGATGTTTCAGTTTCAGACATGTTGGAGGTTTCAAAGAAAAATTGGCAATGAAGGCCTAATGAAAAATATCAGCAATGAAGGCTGGAAATTGCACTTGGCAATAAAGACTTGAAGAGAGGAAAGCACTCAGCAATGAAGGCTGACAAGAAGAGGTCCCAAGAGCAAAAGCTCTGATACCATGAACAAAAAAGAAAACTGAATTGTTCTGTCATATCTTTTGTTCTAGACTCTGTACAACATTTATACAAATGGAATTGGACTTTTGTCAATTCCATGAAATCTGTAATTTCCTAAAAATTAGGAGCTAATTTATTCTATCCTAAAATACATTAGGAGTAAATTATTCTATCCTAAAATAGAGCAGAAATCATGGGATATAGCAGAAATCATGGGATATAGCAGAGATCATGGGATATACATAGAAAAAGATATTCTAGATTTTCAACATTAACAACATGGTAGTTCATAAGAAATAAATCCCTCAATCTAAATGAGATCTTGGTGTACATCAATAAGCTATCACCTACCTAAATGAAACAGCTATATTGTTGGACAAAGTGTTCATTTTTTCTCACATTAATTCTAAACACTATTCCTTGTGGGATGATTATGTTTCTTTCAGTCACAATGACTTCAAAAATGTTACTATTTTAGCAGATCTAAAAACTCATGTAGAACTTGCAATAGTATTATGTACTTAATTTAGTTTGATATGTCTGACTTGAACATATGTCTTTTTTTCCCGGTCACCTTTCCGTGGTAATATAGCATGTGTCAGGCAGAAAAACAAATTATGGCATTTAATTATTTAGTTTCAAATGAAAGTTCATTTCCCTGGTTGATGCATGAGAGGCTGAAAGTAGACATTGGAGCTCCATATGAGTAGGTTAGAAATGTTCACATTTTGATGTTTACTATAAACATTGTTGGTGTAAAAAGCCTCTCCCAGTGTATCATCCCCTCCCCGCCCGGCCCCCCCCTCCCAGGCTCTCTCTCCCCCATTTAACCAGAGTATAATTATTTTATGTTTTTTGTTAATTTTTCTGCTCGTGTTCCTACTGTAGGGTCATGGATGAGAAAGGTAGTACCTTTGAAGACATTGTGGATGCATACTTGGCATATCTGCAAGTAAGTTCCTTGATTAGCTACTGCTTTGTATGGTATTTGAAGTTCTGCTACATAAAGTTGCTAGCAATTTGGAGCCGAGTTGCTTTGATGATTTTTCTGTACGTGTTTGGGAAATAAAACTAATTCCAAATATTGATAGCCTTATGCGCCTAAGTACACTTAATTTGAGTTGCTCAACATTGTTCTTTGTCCATGCTTTTGCATTACCTCATTTCCTCTAGGAGTCAAGAGTAGACTGCTAGAGAAATGAACTTCTGAAAAAATCTTAAAAGGAAAAAGTCTTCTATGGAAATTATGTTAGGCATAAGAAAATTGATCACTATATATGTGGGTGGTTCCTGCTTATTGGTTAATCATGCTTGTTTAAACAAATGTGGTCATAGGAGAAGCAAATTGTTTTGATACAACGCAAGATTCTGAGAGACTAAGGATATCTTTTGAGTTGCCAAGAGACATAGTGTAGTTTTGCTATATAAGGACACATCTTTTCTTGTTTGATTTTTGGGGATGATCTAGTCTACATTAATGTTTCTCCTCTTTCTTCCTTCTCTCCTCTCTCTTCCTTCCTGTAACACAACATCACATGCTGGATAAAGATTGAAAATTTGATCTACTATCAAATATTTTTTTATATGAAAAATAACAGGTGGCAAGCACAAATTCGTGTTTCTATGAGATGAAATCAAAGAAGAGGAAAATGTATTTGATTCTCAAAACCAGAATTTATGTGGAAAGAATCAGAACTTTTAGTTATAACCATTATCTTGTCAAGTTCCTTAGTCCTCAATGATAGTTTAGTGAGTTCCATGCCTTAATTACCTTCCAATTTAGTAGAATGATTTCCTGCATTGGATTCACCTAAGTAACGTGATGGTGTAATGTAAGCATCAAACTTTTCAAAATAGGTTTGCACATTTAAACTTCAAGGGGACAACTTGAACTCTAAACACTCCTAATAAGAGGTTTTATTCTAATCTCTTTAACCCTAGGAAGGGGACCTTATCTAAAACTAATGCCCAAGCCGAAGTAGTAATTCAAAATTTGCTACTGCAAGATAATTATGACTGTCCTAGTCAAATATACTTTAACTAAAGCTATTTCTGTTGAGTAGTCAATCCAATATGATTCAGGAACAAGAGGTAACATGAACAAGTGGCCTGTACCCCTCCACCTTATAAGGCCAATTTGGCTGTAAGAACATCAGCTTTTCAGACTGGTCAGAACCATTGCTTCTAAGGAGGGATTCTTGAGTTTACTGAGTGTGGTCTTTTTGTTATCATTTTATGCCTGTACTTGCAACACTCAATATTCAAATTTCTCCCTTACATCCTAAAGTTAAACTGAAGAATTGCTCCATATATCAGCTTGGTCTTGCTTAACAAAATGAAGTTAAATTGCTGTCCTATTGAATCCAAATTAACAGAGAATTAATTGAAGCGTGTCACATTTGATGTTTGTGCCGTATGGCATCAAGATATGTGGTAATAAAGTTTTAATCTTTTGTGCCAATATTAATCTCTTCACAACTGTCACTTATTTGCAATCAGAACCCATAGCATTATCTCTGTTATGTCTTTACAGCTCAGCTACATTATTTTTGTGGTGGTACAAATTATTCTTCAAGTTAATAATCCAGTTCAACATGAACCTGCCATATCAGCTTTTACTTTGAATTTTTGTATTTCATTTGCATTACATCTGAGGGGACTATGCAGTTTGATGGTGTTGTTGAGTCTTGGCTCGTGACCAAATGAATACGGTGAAGTGACAAAAAGAAAGATATCTCTATATAGACTTGAAAAATCTTCCTCTAATGAATTTGACTACCATTGTCTTTACATGAACAAGCAAAAAAGAAAGATCTAAACAATAAGCATACAAATTTTCAAGCCCTAGACAAGGAATTGCTTTTTCTGGAAATTCTCGAAGCAAGAAATAGATTTTGTGATGATGATACTAAAAATGAATATTTTCCTAAAATGTGTGATCCTTTCTCAAAAGGTGCATACTGCAGAAGAATAAAAAAAAAAAAAAACTTTCAACTGCTATAACTGTGATAGACAATTTAAGAGAGGCAATTTAAACCAAAATCATAATGAAAGTAACTCTTCTAAAACTAGGCGAAGAGTACCTGTGATACGCATGTTAGAGAGAACTTATCACCTGTTTGAACTTCAGTAATGTTGATTAAGTACATAGAGCTCTCTATAATGAGGGCAAACCATTTATGTAATTGGAAGTTCCAAAGAGACAAATTCTCTTCTTATATTAGAAAATTGTGTTAGTGCGCATGTTGCTAGCATACTATGTATAGGTGCTTTAATAATATATGTTGAACACAGCAACCTGCCTTATTATAAGGGAGAAGCCTGATGATTAATGAAAGTAGCACTTAACTGAGTTTCTTTCCTTGGATTGGAAAATATTGTGTGAGAATCATGTATTAGTTGTGTGAAGTTTAATAGTGTGCTGAACTTTAGTAGCTTCACTTTACTTAGCAGATCTTTAGATGAAAGGAGTAATCTGTTACTTTTCACTGACATATGATGACTGCATATGCTGTGTTGATTTCAAATTTTTAGGACTGTGAAAAAGGTTGTCTCTTTTAAGTGAATTTTGTCATTGAAGTAATACAGTCTCATCACAAGTAGAACTTACCTGAAGAACCACTAATGAAGCAAAACCTCAGATCAGAAAAGTAATTAGACAACAAAAAGTAGTATGTAAGATACATCTTCAGGAGATATTTTTGGTTAAATTGCCAATTATAAGTTTTGTATCCTTTTGACTTTCAAACACCTTCAACTTGTCATTTGCATAGTGGACATCCTGAATGCGTTCACTTGTGCAAAATGAAACATTCTGTACTTAAATTTTTAGCAAAAAAGAGATCATGCTAGAAGGACCAAGAAATCATAGTCCTCTAATCAATAACAATGTAATGAAAGTGCACAAGTTTTGCAATTGTTATTTTCTGGTGCTAATTAGACCACCTCATGAAGCAATGAAATAATATTTCCTCCACAAGCACTAGAAACCAGAAAATCCTTGATGTAAATAATTTGACATTAGCACACTCTTATTTGTGCTTTAGACAACTTTCGATCTAAACTGTTCATTACATTCTTTCTTCTCCTTTAGTTAACTGTAGTTGATCCTGCGATGGAAAAAGCACTTCTGCACTTGCAAAAGTTCGCATTGGATGCACAAAGTGGAAAGGTTTCAAAAGACAGATTGCGGTTTGGTGCTCCCTGGAGACATCCTCCACATACAGACGATCCTTCCATATGCCACCAGTGGGCTAAGATTCAACTGCTGGACTTTGTTCAGTCTCTAGTCAACACAGAATTTGGGGTACTCCTTTCATATTTCTCTTAGCAACTTACAATTTTTTTTAACTGCCAGTTATTATGATATTGTCCTCGTGATTCTTTTTTTAACTAAGTTTCTTGTCCCTTTTTCCATTTAACTAGTCAAGTTGAAAAACAAGAATGAGTGAATTTTTGCCATGAGGTTCTACAACTTGTATTCTCCACTTGACGGATTCCTTGATTCAATAATCAAAAGTATAGATACTTAAAGTGCAAGGAATTATATTTTCTTTATTCAAGTTGCATTAAGTTCAGAAACAAGCCAATTTTCACTTGTCTAAGCAGATTTTTCTTGAATGCGTGATGGCATGGTTTTTATTTTGATGTGATGGTGAATTATGAATGCTGCCTCTAGCATTGCTTTTGTTTAGAGAATAATGTATTGAATCAGATAAATGCAGCAGTTCTGCAATGCATTTCCAAATGCAATAATAGAGATCAGAATATGTTTTAACTAATTGTTTCATGAAATGATAAAAAAGTAAATAAACAAAAAATTTTGTGACCTTCAGTTAACCTATCAGGTACCAGTTACTAAATGTCTGTTTACCTTTTATATCCACATGTCCAGGTAATGTGTCTGAAGTGATATAGATGTAGGACGAATTTATGTTCTTTAGGAGCATGAGTGTTACCTCGAAAGAGCAATGAGAATTGTCTTAGAATAGAAGATGTAAAAAATCTGAAAGAGATGTAAAAGATGAGATCAGTTTTGTAGGTGAACAGCTAGGATAAAAAGCTGACATCAAGGGTGAGACGAAGAACAAGCATTTTATCTCTAGAGTACTTAGAAGAGAGTAAAATATGTAAAGTCACCCTGGGCGCCATCTAGGAGCTTGGTCATCATTTGAATCCATGTGTCATTCATTCTCACTAAATTTCTACCTGTAGTAGTTGAGTTCCTTAGCCCCTGTAAGTGTACTCTATTACAACTTTGTAGTGGAAGATTGTATGTAGCCATATGTTGTCTTTACTGTTAAGTAAACAAATGTTATCTTCCAATTTGGCTATTTGTTGTCCTTCCAAAAAGATAAATTATTTGGATGATTGTGTAATTGCACGTGTTTGTAATTCAGAGTCAAAAAGTCAATCCTGAAAGTTACATGGCATGACTAAAGAATGTAGTTGAACCTTCTCACTAAATGGCATGACTAAAGAACATAGTTGAACCTTCTCACTAAATGGGTTTAGTTTTCTGACTCTGGTCTCTGGCTGACTATAAGATTCTTGGACTTGTACATAGCCATTGATCCCTGGATAAAGCCCAACTAGCATTCTCCCAAAGGTCTTTCTTCAGTTGCATCAGAAATTGATGCAGAAGGTCCAACTTATGTGCTGAAGTAAGCATGTACAGATTTCTACCCTTTGAGCTTCTTAACTAGTATCCATTGATGCATCACTGGTGCCGAAATGCCGAAATTCAGCAAGAGAAACCTAAAATTCACCAATTTTGTTGCATGAATTGGTACTAGTAAAAAATCTGGATCAGTATGAGTAACCTGGTATGTTCCCAGTTTGCTCTGACAAATGTTGTCTACCAGTCTCAACAACATTGCCTTCCAATTTTGCTGTGTGTTTTCCTCCAGACGAATCCATGCAGCCTTAATAAATGTTTTGTTGGTCCTGAAATTTGTAAGCATTTGACTGAAGACGTTTGATGTCACATTTCCTTCATTAAATGTTTACCATGTATATATGCCAGTGGATTTCTTCCAAAAGCACACATTCATATTGTGAAATTCATCGCAGGCCATTGCCCTAGCTCAGAAGTTTTCTGTCTCATCTTTAGACTTTCCAACACTTTTGCTTTGCTGTCATGTACTGCAGGTTAACTATCTAGCCGACTGTAGTCTGGAGATCTTGGATGATCCTTCAGCTGTTGCCTTGTTAGAGGTACTTATTTGATGTTCAATTTTTTTTTTTTTTTGTAATGTTCGTTTCTTCATAAATTTCTTCTTTTTGAAGAACGTGGGATTGCTTATTGGTATGTTCATATTTTCATTACCAAAGAGCATTTGCCACATTATATTCCCTATTGATTTGTTCACCTATCTTGCTTCCATTCAACTATTGATCTAGACCTCTTCAATTCAGAATTCATTAGGCATTTATTAATATTTCGGAATTAATTGGTAGTTGTGCTATTATAATTTTATCTATTGCAATATAACCTTCAATTTATATTCTCTCATTGTTTGACGGTGTAACTCAAATTTGAAGTTGACTAAATTGATTAGTCAAAGGATTTAGGCAACTACAAAAATATGGTCGTCTCTTTCTCTCTCTCTCTCTCTCTCTCAGTTTACAGGTTTATTTTCTTTCCTAGGTTGGTTTGCTTTATGCCCAACGTGACCCTTCATTCATTCGCCCCATAACACGTGGTATCCAGAGATGCCTTGCGAGATGGTAAGAGGTGGTTGTGTCTTGCCACAACTTTAGAAGCATCAAAGAAGCATTTCATAACTTACTAGTAATTTGCAGGCTTGTTCAGCAGCGGCTGCAAATGAATTTTAAGCAATCTGTTGAGTTCCTTTGGCAAAGAAGTGTAAGGGGACGCAGTTATCGCCATTTGATGTTGCAAATACGGTAAAACATGGATATGACAGGTGCTTGTTTTCTTCTGGTAATAAAGTTATACTTTGTACATTACTTGGTGCTTGGACCTCTATGTTTATGAATTGCATAGGCCTGATTATGTGGTTAACCATAGATTTATAGTAGTCATTCTTAGCGACCAAAGCTAGCACTTCTCTATTTCTTGGTGAGGCAAAAAGCAAAAATAATAACTCAAGACAATTTGTCAAGTCCCAGGTTAGTACCTGAAGTTTCTTTTTTAAACTTCCCAGGCCCTGTTCAAGCTATGTTAACACAGACTCTCCTCCCAATCCCAGAGCACCTGTTTCAACATGACACAACTCAGGTGCCGGATAAATGTCTGAAATGGTCAGACTCCGTTGGGTGCATTAAATAATGTTTGAGGCTTATGGCTGCATCAACTGCTATTCACCACTGTTGTTGATGTTGGAGGGGAAGAACTAATCTACAGTTTGTTGAGATTGGAAGAGGATGGAGGACCAATTGAACTAAAAGTGATGTGCTAGCATGGATTCTACTATTAAATCTGTCTACTGATGGGAATATGGCATCTGTGGTGATGAAATTGATTGCACGATGCCTCACTAGGGGGTTTTGGAGGGTTCAATTCATGTAATCAATGAGTTCATCAATGAGACATGATGAGATGCTACCCGGAAAGAGGGGAAGATGAAGATTTTTTTTTTTTTTTGGGGGACAAGATGCAGAGGATAATTTAAAATTGAGGAATATTAATAGCTCAACCTTAGAGTAGCAGTTGGACTTGATGTACTAGATGGGGCAATCCATGGAGAAGAGTACAAGGTTTTGCAGAGTAGCCTGCTGGTGAATCATTGGATACGCAAAATACATACATTTTTCTTTCTAGTTGCCATTGGATTATTATCAGAATCCTTGTCAATTCTAGGTTACTAGCGGAATTCCCATCTCATCCTGTAGAAGAATTTATCCAATGGCATATGAGAAAGATCTTCCAGGTATAGCTGCCTCTGCAGGTGCAAGTGAATATTTGTAGAAATACAGATATGAAGCCGAAGAGGCAAATGATTGTAGAAATTGCAGACGGCTTTCCAACTGGACATCATATTACCGTACTTGAAGACCAGCAAGAAATACCGCCAATCACATTAACGGCACTGGACCACGAACAATTCAACAATAAGAACCAAATAATTTAACAATCATAGGCATATTCTAAGATTTTGACGGATGAGGTTCCCCTTGAAATAGACAAAAACTACTATACAATACTTTGAATGGTGTTACCAAATAAAAATCCCCATCATACGGACGAACAATTGATCCTTGAAAAAAGGCGGAAAATGAAAGCGTGAAATTGAGAGAGAAGTTAATTTTGACCAGTAACTATGCTAAAGTAAAGAAAACTGTCAAAAAATTAGGGATTAATAACAATTTATCTTCATGCCGTGTACCTCAGTTCTCAATTTATGTTGTAGTAAAGAAAAATGTAAAAAATTTAGAGATTAATTACAATTTATCTTGACGGCCTGCCACTATATATGAGTTGTTGGTCATTTTGAGCTGTAGGTCATCATCATAGTTTATAATATTTGGTGGAGTGGGAGGTCAAGGGTTCAGCCGTCTGGACCTACCACTATACTATATGTGGCCTGTCACTTTAAATGTCTTTCCAAACGGGTGTGTAGTGCACCTGTTTGGGCGGGTAGGTGATTCAATCTCCTCCGATTTCTTCTTGGGTCTATTCAAGCCTCCCCCTTCCATAGTATAAATAAGTGTAGGTATATCGTGTCGAAAAAAATTACAATTTATCCTCTTGGCATATACCTCAGTTCTCAATTTATGTTGATATTTTTTTTTTCTTCTCTCTTTTCTCCTTTTAAATTAGTTTTTTGGAAATTCTTATTTTTGAGAAAATTAGTTTTCTTTTCTGAAGTTTGTGTTTGCCCAAAAAAATCAAATATTAATTGAATTATCTTCTTTTACTTTGTAATTGTATCTCTTTTATTTGTAATAATCCATCCTAAATAATTTTTAGAATTTTCATTTTCTAACTGTGTGTGTGTATGCATTCTTTATAATTAGTAAATTAGAAGCAATTATATTCTAATTAATTTCATCCATTTTTCAATCTAAAAAATCAATGGGAAAAATTAATTCTATATTTTTATAATAAGACAATAAAATAAATGACTATTTTTTACAATCACATTTGCATGCCAATTATTTGGACTTCTTTTTGTTATTTTTTTTAATGAAAAACCCTGTACGCGCGACGCTGGGGGGGGGGGGGGGAGGAGGAGGAGGACGCGACCCCAAACTTTTATTTAGAACAAAAAGCAAGTTACAACTGATTTCCTACATCCTACGTCCTTAGCCAATGAAAAAAATCATTTACGCGAAGGACATGATCGATGTTCATCGTCTTTAGATTGACGACGAATCTATAATGGTATCACTGTCCGGGAAGCCATTAGTCGCATACAAATTGTAGTGTGATTTGTTGGCTACAACTATACGTAACGTTTGAACAAAGTTTGAGCGATAAAGAGAAGTAAAGGAAGCAGCGAAAGTTTGCAATGTCATTCATTTGCGTTTAAGCTATGTGTTATCCTTCAAAATTGTCAAATTACCTCTATATATAAAGTTTGAGTAACATTGTTTGTGATAAGTCAATACATTTATTGGATTAATTAATCAAATAATTGTAGCTGAACGGTGTGGTTTTTACCTTTGCTCCGAAAGGTTAAAGTCCTTTATTATCTTTAAATGTTACAATTAATTTGAACCCACATAACTGCTTGAATACTAGAAATGTTTTAAAAACAAAAAGGAAGGGAAAATCGCCAAAACAATCCCTCACGTTTGAGTTTTGTACTTTTTTAGTCTCTTACTTTTAAAATGATATATTTTGTGTCCTTATATTTTAAATTTTGTAACTTTTTAGTATCTTACTTTTAAACTGATCAGTTTGGTCCTGCACATATGAAAAATACACCATTTTATCCCAAAAGGCTGTTTTTATCTCATTTTCACCTAAAATAACTAAAAAAAAGGTAGAAAACTCATATGTGGGGAGACTATTTTTGTGGTTTTCCCAAAAAACAATTTTTTAGATATACTACATATGAGATTTGAAATAGTTGAAAAATGTACAAAATTAGCATGATTAGAGGTTGTTTCAAAAAAAAAAAGTTCAAAAATATACTTGTACGAGGCAGAATATTTTATCAGATAAGTCACATGGTAAAGGAGGGGAAATAATATTTGTACGAACATCTAGTAACCACTGCATACTTTATTTTTCAAACACAGTTTGATTCATGAGATGACACGTGATGTGATTACTAATTCCATGTCATTGTATGTTTGATTGCTTTTTAATGCATGGGATTGTACTTCCTACCTAGCTGAATTAATCTCTCATATGGGGGATAAAATAATCTTTTGAAGAAAGTGGCATGAGCTTCTAGAAGTTTGAGTTTGAGCTTATGTTGTTAAACTTTGCAATGTTTGAGATATTCTATTCAATATATTATCTGTATTATTTATTCTTTGAGTATTAACACTTTGAATTAATTCTTGTTCTCTTTCAATGTCGTTAGTAAGAGAATTCAAGATCAAATGGTGGATAGGATTCAATCAAAAGTTCTGTGATCAAAAGAATGTTTTAAGATTCTTAGAAACAGGAGAAAAGCTCAAATGGACAAATCCAAATTAGCAAACTACAAGAGGAGTTAATATTCCAACAACTCCACAGAAGAAGGAAAAAGAAAAATCAAGCATCCCAACATCAGAAACAATTGCAAATGATTTCTTAATGAAGAAGATGATGCAAAATTCGGAAATGCTCAAAGAATATTTGAATTATTTGCAAAATCAAGACAAAAAGGAAGAAGACAAAATAGATGAGTTAGCGGGGTCATTATCGGAATCTACTTTTGATCCTTTCGGTGGTTCTTGTGCTCAAGACCCGACAGACTTTTGATAAAAGTTATCGGCTAATTTCAAGATAAGGATAAGAAATCTCAAAAGCAACCAATCAGAAGAAGATAGGTGTCGGCAAGATAAGGTGTCGGCAAATGAAATTCAAATGAAAGAGTCGGCAATCAAATGAAGTTGAAATTCAAAGATAGAAGTCTCTATAAATAAGATTCAAAACAGAGGAAGAGGCATCGAGTTTTTATAGCTATCCTAAGAATTTCTCTGTAAATCTCTTCTTTCTCAATTTTTATATTTCTTTGTACGCAATTCTATTCAACGAGTTCAATAAAGATTCAAAGTTTGATTTGGCATCAAGAAGCTTCCACATATCAAAGATCACTCTAATCTTCTGTAAGTTTTATATGCTCATATTATATACCTGGGTTGGTTCTGGTATCAGAGCTACATATATTTCTTTGAAATCTTCTACCGTTATTGTGACTAGAGCATACCACTTTTGAAATGTTATTTTTTCTATTATATTTACATATTGTTTTTCATCTATTGGTCTTTCTGAAATAACTATTTCTTCTGAAGTTAATGTTTTTGAAGTAGAAGGTTAATTTTCTATTAATGTCATCTTTGCTTCTATTTCTAAATCTTTAGTTTTTAATTCTATAATTTCTTTTTGTAATTGTTTTACTTGATTTTTTAAATTATTAATTTCTGTTTGAAGATCTTTAGTAGTTTCTTTTTTCATATTGTTTATATTAGGATATTTATCTAGTAATTTTGAAATGCTAAATGGTTCAATTATTTTTGGCATCTTACCCTCTTGAATGATTAAACTTTTTAATCTTTTTAAATATTCTTTTAAAGTGGTTTGGTCATTTCTCAGTATATAGAGCTCCAAATTGGGTGATTCTTGAGGCATTGTAAAGATAACTCAAAAGGTTACAACTTTCATGTTTTGTACAAGAGTTAGTTCATCCTTCATCATCAAGAAAGAGCTAGTTCATCTTCCATCATCGAGAAAATAACAGTGTAATTTGGTGCAAAAACAGAGCAAAGTTGAAGACTTGTAACTAGAGCATACCACTCTTGAAATGTTATTTTTTCTATTGTATTTAAATATTGTTTTTCATCTATTGGTCTTTCTGAAATAACTATTTCTTCTGAAGTTAATGTTTTTGAAGTAGAAGGTTGATTTTCTATTAATGTCATCTTTGCTTCTATTTCTAAATCTTTAGTTTTTAATTCTATAATTTCTTTTTGTAATTGTTTTACTTGATTTTTTAAATTATTAATTTCTGTTTGAAGATCTTTAGTAGTTTCTTTTTTCATATTGTTTATATTAGAATATTTATCTAGTAATTTTGAAATGCTAAGTGGTTCAATTGTTTTTGGCATCTTATCCTCTTGAATGATTAAACTTTTTAATCTTTCTAAATATTCTTTTTTAGCTAAGGGATCATCAATTTTTTCTATTATGTTTAATAAAAATTCTTTGTCTTCCTTTTTTGTAATTATATTTATATATTTTGGACTGTTAAAACAATTACAATTTTCTTCACTTTTTGAACTACTTATATCATTGTAATAATCATCTTCTGTACTTTGTTCTTTTTCATTTATTAATAAATTTATTAATTTATTCTTTATATCTTCTTCTTCTCCACAGATTTCATTTATTTTTCTTTCAATTTACATTTATTTGCTTTATGTCCTACTTTTCCACATTTATAACAAACAATTTTTCTTTTATAAAATTTTTTATTTTTATTTTTCTCATAATTTTCTTCTTTATTATATTTTTTATATCTTATGTATTTTTTGTTCTTTTTACTTTTCTTTTTATATGCTGATGGTGATTTAATTCTTTTTATACCAAATGCTTCACAAAATGATCCTACTTCTTTTGTTTTTGAACCATACTTAATCTGGAGTTTTAGTTCTGAACATAATATTAAACCTTCTTTTTTCACAAAAGCAAATAATTGTCCAAAAGTAATATTTGCGAATGAAATAAAATCTGTTCCCATTTTTTTTGTAAATTATCCATTATCCTTTGTGAAAATAGACTTGGTAATCCTGTAATAAATCTTTCTTTCCAAAATGAAGCATTACAATCTGGTCTTCTTAATACATTAGTTAAAAACATATCTTTATAC